CCCCCCCCCTGCCTCTCCTTTGCCACTCCTTATCCCAACCCCAATAACCCCAGTCCCCTTTGACACCTCTGATTCCTTTCCCTGCTTGATATCCCAGTCCCAGTGCTGCCCCTGCCCTCTCCCCCAGCCACATCCAGCCTGCAGGGACCCCCCCTACTGCTTCCCCATTACCTGGCCCCTCTCTCCTCCAACAGTCCCTCGGGGAGCTGTCCCCCATGGCCCGCTACACCTGCCACCAAGCAGATCTCATCCAGACCACCAGTGATAATGGTGTCAGCAACAGGGTGCCGTGTCCCCATAACCCCCACACTCCATCCAGGTCATGGCTCATCAGCCACCAGGTTCCCCAGGCACCCATCCAACTGCCCCTGTCAGCTTCGGGATCTCCTCCAGCCTGAGGGGCCCATCCTCGAGCCACTGGCAGGGACCAGATTGAAGTCTCTCCATCTGGCTCCCTTGGAGGGGCAGGAGTCGGGGGACACGCCTGCGGGCACCGCCACCCCGCCAGCACCCCCCGCGCCAGAGCAGGTCCGCAGCGAGGGATGAGGTACCGGGGTGCCGTGGGGCTGTGCCTCCGGCGCTGCTCCCCAGGAGAGGGCACCCGCCGGCCGGGAAAAGCCGGGAAATGTGACACCACAGCAGCGGTGGCTTGGCCACGCGTGGCCTCCGCACAGGAGGGCCATAGGCGTGGGAGAGGGGCCACGGAGGTGTAGGGAGGCGTCGGGCAAACCCAGGTGGTGCGGGCACGGGGAGCAGGGCACTGGGATGCCGGGTCGGCGGGCACCTTGAGCAAGGTCTTAATGGTTAACAGAGGCCAAGGCCGGCGGCAGGGCTGTGTCAAGGGCTGTGGGGCCGTGGGGCCGTGTCCCAGCCATGGCATGTCCCGCAGTGTGGGTGGCCCCAGCCCATGCCACGCGCGAGGCTGTGGAGAGGGAGCTCTGACCCGATCCCCGGCTCACACAGCCCCACCGAGGGGCCGTTTCAGGACCTCGCTGCAGATTTCACCAGCTGCTGCCCTTGACCGAATCTCTCACCCTGTGTTGGCTGACCCTGGACTTCCCTGCTCTGGCGTCACGGTTGTTCCCTGACTGTGGTTGCAGTGTATGTAGCAGCAGGGTATAGGCAGTGCCAGAGTGGATGTTGCACCGAGGTATACACAGTGCTGGGGTGTACGTAGTACTGGGGTCTCACACCTAGGCTGCGCTGCCCATGGCGAGGGTGGCTGTCCCAGCCACCTCCCGGCTGCTGGGGCAGGTCCATCCCTTGGGCTCTGCTGGGTTTAACAGCCCCTGGGCCACCCCAAGGGCACTTTGGTCCAGCCCTGCTGCTTGGGGCATGCACCAGGATGGGGAAAGGGCTCAGTCCGATCAGGACCCTGCCTGGGAGCACTGTGTCCCTGCTGCCCACTCCCAGCGCACAGAAGGTGGTAGGCGAGACAGGATCAGATCCTGACTCCCCCAAGGGCAGCACCTGGGGTCTGCCTGGCCCAGGTGTGCTGTGAGGGTTTGGCTCCATGAGCCTCACCATGGAGCCAAACCCTCCATCTCTCGCCATCCACCTTGCTGGGCTGTGCCAGGCCCCAAAGGGGTCCCCATGCCATTCCCTCTCAGGGGCCAGCACGTTGCCCCCATGAGGTCACTGGACGCAGCCACATGGCTCTTGCCCCACGGAGGGTGTTTGCTGGGCGGCTCCCACGCACCCCACGTCATTGGGAGCTGGTGGCCGGGGCTGGCCCTGTGCCCCTGGCCCTTTATCGAGGGCATTGCTCAACAGCGGGTGCGATGTTGGGGGTGGGCAGGGGCCATGGCACTGCCTCACCTCTGGGGGATCCGGGGAGCTCCCATTTCTGGGTGAGCTGGAGTGGCATGGCTGGCCTTGCCATGGGCTGGGGGCCGGGATGCTCCCCCTGCCAGCGGCACCCCAGCTTTGTGGGGAGCCACCTGCAACCACCGTGGCTGCCGCCACCATTCCCCTCCCGCCTGGCTGTGCTGTGCGGGGCAGGGACACTGAGGCACGGCCGCCGTGCGCGGGGGTGGGGACACGCTGACCCCCGCTCCCCTCGGCTTCGTGGCTCCCCGGCTCGGGGGTAGCGAGGTCCTGGCGGGGCACCCCCTTGCTGGGGGGCTGCTGGGGAGCCCGGCCCAGCCCCGGCCCCTCTCCCTTCCTCCTCCGCCTCCCTCCCTGCCCCCCGAGGACGGGGGGGCGCCGGGCGGGCTGGG